TGAGAAGTGTGACATTCCAGGTATCTTTAAAAAAAAAAAAAAATCAAAGGCTGGTGTGTCAGCATTGGGCTCCAGAGAGAAGACTGTGCTTTTTCATTTACATAGGAAATTGAAATACAGGTTACAGAATCTTGAGTTTCATCTTCTGAAAAGATCATAGAGTGTGGTGCAAGGTCAGACTGGCATGAAATCAATTGTAATCCGCCAGCAAGCCATTCTAACCTCTTTAAGAGTTTCCTTTTATATTTTTCCCCTTTATAGAGAGAGCAAAGTACATTTAAAGAAAGTCTCATCAAATCAGAATGTCTTTCTAATATTATTTTTTTAATTGGTTGCTACTGTACTGTGACCTAAAGCCTCCTGGTATTTAACCCTCTGTGCAACTTTGACTAATGAACAAATTTTGTCTGCTGTAGCAGTCTTGCTAAGTGTCTTTTATAGGGTTTTAAAAAAATTACAGTGTATTATGAAAACCTCAGATCCCTCGACCTAATTGATTGGCTGTTGGTGATGCCATCTCTATAACTATAATGTTCCTTAAGTGCACAGACCTAACTATTTTTCTTATTTTTATATAGCAGTTCCATTTTATAATGACATTAAACCATTCTGAGTGATACATTTCTGGACAGTTATTGCACTTGGGTAGAAAGTGTCATCTGGCTTTTAGCCTTGTGCCTTACAACACCAACCGAGGTGTAAAATGATCCCCCAGAAAATGTACTAGGCTTTACCTCATTACTTAAAAATAAATCTTGGAGTCTGGTTCTGTTTCAGAAAAGATTTGGTGAGTTAAAACATTTGATTTATGGACATAATTAAAATATAAATGATGAGCTCTGGGCTACTCAATCAGCCATCTGGATTGTTCGATATTTTGACATACTTATATTGCAGTCAGGATCTTCTTCCTGGGAAAATTTAACATCCCTGAGTCCTAGAAGTGTCAGTGGAATCCCAAGGTTTCTGTACCACCTGTTGAAAATACTTAAGTTCTTCTTTTGGGACAAAGGAAAGGGAACAGAATTTGTTTTTAAGTTTCCATCACCCAAGGACAGATGGTGGCACATAGACTTTCTCTTTGGTTCATAGGGTGTGTAGATAACTCAGCTGCCCAGGGTCAAATAATATGCCCATAAATACTGCCTTTGTCAATGGAGGGGGTCATTTTCCTGTGTAATACAAGAAAGATTAATGTTTACCTTTTGAGCCAACTATGAAGGTAACTGGCAGCTGTACCTATTAAACACATGGTAGATGTTTCTGCAAAGCTTAGAAAGTACACTGGGAAAATCAGTTATCTGAAGGTGTATTTTCTGTGGCTTAGCATATGATTTTTTATATACATTTATATATTAACTCCAGGTATAGCAAGTCCTTAGCTTGTTTTTCCTGATTTATGTGTGTAATTGACAACTGGTAAACAGCTCATTAGGAACATAAAAAAAGCATTTAACTAAAACAAACTCAGTGATACTGAAGAGGCAGGGCAGATGAGATTTTTTTTCAACACTTTCTTTATTATTAATGGAAGTTGAGCATGTAAAACCCTTAGCGCACTGTACTGAAAAATATACCCTTTCTGTTTGCTTGTAAATTACATGAAGGGGAGGGGACAATCCAATGAAAACTGCCCTCATAAGCCAGCAAGCATTCGTTTCTCCTTAATTAATGATCCTAAGTCAGCAATGCATGAAAAATGTAGCCCTTTTGTGGATCATAGATTAACCTATAAGCAAATGTTACATTCCAGCCCAAATTTTGAGCTCTAAATTTAGCCTTGCCCAGAATGTTTTATGGGGATAAAATAACAGAGGTCTCCTAACCAGAAACTCCATAGTGCTGCCATTCTGTTTCTGAGTATGAACTATTAGGTAGCTGGTCATTTGTTATCAATGTTCAGTGTCGTAGTCTTCTCCCATTAATTTTTGTTGTCTCTTTTTAAAAATGGACTTCACCAAGTGGCAGTTTGGTAAGGGGGACCAGGTGGGGGGTATAGCACCAAAAATAGTAGACCCACATATATCATCTTGTGGTTGTATTTAGCCTAAGATGTGGTCTAGAAGCTGGTGCCCTGGAGTTCTGGCTTCAACCCAGAAGCCAGTGCTAGTTCAGGGTCATCTCATTTGTCCTTTGTGAGTATTTCTGCCTTTCTTTAATGACTACCTTCCAAATCCGGTTATCAGTATCCAGAAACAACCTTGCTATTTTGCTCTTTTTTTTTTCTTCCATGATTTATTTATTTTTTTATTTTTATTTTTATTTTTTTGCACTTAGACTGTCATGTTTTTTTTTATTGGTTGTTCACAACATTACAAAGCTCTTGGCATATCATATTTCATACATTAGATTGAAGTGGGTTATGAACTCCCAATTTTACCCCAAATGCAGATTGCAGAATCAACGTCGGTTACA